AAGAAAATTTAATAATAAACGATTATGACGACGGATATATATGACGGGATATCGTTTTATTTTGTTGCGCTTTTTTTAAATGCCTTTGAATTTCTTTTTATTTTTTGAGGTTTCTACCCGTCAGCTTTAATATATCATTTTATTTTTGGTAATTTTACTTTTTCATTGGTGGGACGAAAACTTCAAAAGTCTTACGTCGTCGGAAGCATTTCTCAGTTGAACTTAATAAATATTTAAAACAAAAATAAATTCTTTTAACACTCCCCAAATCATAACTAACAAATAATGAAATTATTTCAGTTTTTTTTCTGAATTTAAATCGGGGTGAACTCTATTATTTATAAATGACGTTAACTTTTAGCCTTTTAATTTATCGCTTCTAAACCGAATTGTACCAAGCGTCAGAAGTTTATTATCAACGATAAATTTCATTTTGTGACGTTCCAAGATTACTAGTGTCTATTAAAATGTTATACTTGTTAATTTAAAATTTAGGAAATTCTCCCAATTCATTTCTTAATCATGCCTATTAATATAAAAGGAAGGAGGAAGTCGTTTTTTAACAGTTTGAATGGATTGTTTTTAACACGTGAAATAGGAAGGTTAATATTTTGAGTCGATTGTCAAAGCAACACCGTTAACTGTCCACCAAGACGCACAAACACTCCAATTATGTAGTGTTTACGACCGGGTTAAATTCGGAGTTCGTTATACCACGTCCTGAAATCAACATTTACCGAAACTCCAAAGGAACTGCTGGTTACCACAAGGAAGCATAGAAGAAGGGAGTTTATGTTATTACTAAGAATTACCTAGGCGATAAGTTTTGCTGGAAAAGTAATATGATTTATTGGTAAAATTTATTAGTATGGAAAGTTGGCAGTACATCGACCGGGAATATAAAATTCTTAGAACTGTAGCAAAATCCTAACCCAAATTCGAATATAAATAGAGTTTTGTTGCCGTCTGATGTGTCTAATGTCTATTTTCGTAGATTATCCACCGTAAATCGTAGATAATAAAATGCTCCCCAAAGTCTATTTATACCAGTTCAAAATTTTTAAACACTTTTTTTTCTTAATTAAAAAAATTTCGAGAACATTTATTTCGTTAATCATGGACGAGCGGACATCAAACGACCAACGTTCTGGCGATTATGAAGATTAACTGGCACTGAAACGACTTTTTTTTATTGATTCGTTACCCGTTTTTTTCCTTCCGAGATCGTAAACACGATTTTAGTCTATTTTCTCATTTATATTGTGTTATTTAAAGATTTCATTTGAACGTTTCGCATCTTCTAAACTTTTATTGACTAATTAATTAAAAGCTTTGGAATGTTTTGGGAAAGACAAATGGGAAAAATAGTTTACAAAAATAATAAAGTATTAAAAAACGAAATGTTAGAATTATAAATTATGATGTTCTATTTGGAAAAAAAATGAGAGTTAAATTTGTATTAGCAAATACTATAAAAAGTTACAATATTTTATGTGAAATAAGGATGTAGAGATGTTATAAACTAGTATTTTTGTGGAACAGCTGCAATATGTTTCTGTTCCTAAAAAGTAATAGTTCTAAATACTGTAACAACTGTTTTACTGTTCCTTGTGATATAGCATAAATCACAAAATGTCAAAATTGGATGATTGTTCTTAATTAAATCAACTGTAACATAAGTACTAAAACTGATGGAGAAAGACGTTATGAATAAAAAATATTCCTAATGTATTCAGAAATCATAATCCATTTGTACTTCATATTTATCTATCACCAATTTCTAGTGATATAGCATAAATCACAAAATGTCAAAATTGGACGACTTTTCTTAATAAAATCAAATATAACATAAGTACTAAAACTGATGGAGAAAGACGTTATGAATAAAAAATATTCCTAATGCATCAAGAAATGATAATCCATACTTATTTCACATTTATCTATCATCAGTTTCTAATGATATAGCATAAATCACAAAATGTCAAAATTGGACGACTTTTCTTAATAAAATCAACTCTAACATAAGTACTAAAACTGATGGAGAAAGACGTTATGAATAAAATATATTCCTAATGTATTCAGAAATCATAATCCATTTTTACTTCATATTTAGATATCACCAATTTCTAGTGATATAGCATAAGTCACAAAATGTCAAAATTGGACGACTTTTCTTAATAAAATCAACTGTAACATAATTACTAAAACTAATGGAGAAAGACGTTATGTATAAAAAATATTCCTAATGCACCAAGAAATGATAATCCGTACTTATTTCACATTTATCTATCATCAGTTTTTAATGATATAGCGTAAATCACAAAATGTGCAAAATATGGACGAATTTTCTTAATAAAATCAACTATAACATAAGTACTAAAACTGATGGAGTAAGACATTATGAATAAAAAATATTCGTAATGCATCAATAAATCATAATCCACACTTATTTCATATTTATCTATCGCCAGTTTCTAGTGATATAGTATAAATCACAAAACGTCAAAAATTGGACGATTTTTCTAATGCATCAAGAAATCATAATCCACTCTTATAGTGTATGTGTTAAGTTGGTACAATCTATTTCTTCAAAAAATCTGTCATAACTATCACGTCATTAGTCTTAAAATCTAGTTTTTCAGCAGAGAAAATAGCCAATTTTTCTACCAAAGTATTTGCATGCGTTTTTCTAGAATAAGTATAAGGTCTCTGTCGCAAAAATGATTTCTGTTTTAACACTGAGGTTGTAGTTTGAGAAGGAGTTGCTATGATTTGATAAGAACAAATGGTCCACTCAACGATAAAAATCTAAACATAGCAGAATTCTTACCAAATTGCCAGGATCAGAAGAAATAGTACTATATGTTGCTATTCTCTTTAACTTGCATCGTCAACACATTGCCATTCTGATCTGTCAGATTTTTCATCATCCGTTCTACAATTCTCTTTACTCCTCCATCTCTCTGCATCCCTTGTAGATGTTCCATGCTATTTTCAGTGCTTTTATGTGTCGTATTATGTCTGCAGCATCAATGAGATAGTCCAATTCATGGATCATTATTATTCTCCACATTCCAACATTATCTTGTTTTTCGGTCCATACATCGTAAAATCCTTCTTTCAAACGGTTTTAATTGGCTTGTAATTTGTTTAATCTCCAGTCGATCTGGTTCATGCCCCACATCCCGAGAAGATCTTGACTTTCGACTATCTGCCTAGTATTTTACTCATCATTAGGTGTTTGTAGGCACAGCAGCACCTATTGCCGCTATATATTCTAGCCTCGATGTCTCTTCTTTGGATTTTTCTAGTCTCCATATACGAGGGCGAATCAAATATGAACCGGAGTTTAGTTTTAGAACATTTATTGGTATAGTAAATAAACTTTTGAAAACACCTTATTTTTCTACACAGTCTCCTCATTTATTCACACATTTTTCCCACCGAATTGGAGGTTTTTTAATTCCATCATTAAAGAATGAATCTAGTCGCATCTGTAACCATTTGCGCACAAACGTTTCTACACCTTCGTCATCATCAAAGTGATGACCTCCCAGTTCTTCTTTGAGTAGCCTAAACATGTGGTGGTCACACGGCGATAGATAGAAACTGTAGGCCGAATTTTGTGCAATTTTCTTTGGGTTAATGCGACTGTGTATGGTCGAGCGTTGTCATGGAGCAGAATTGCAATTCGAATAGGCACGTCTCGCTTTTTTCGTCGATAGGCTAGTTTCACTTCATAAAGCAGTTGGCAGTAGTACGCATCAATGAGCAATATACAATCCCAAAAAATCGTTACAAGAACTTTACTAGCAGAACGACGAGTCTTGGCTTTCCGTGGTGCTTCTTCTCCAGGTTTTCGCCATTTCATGCTTGTCTACTTAACTCCGGGGTGCAATGATGCACCAAAAAGTCTGATCTTGCCTGATCTTTTGTCAAAATACGAGAAGCCCACCTTGCTGACACTTTTCAGTAACCCGAATCATCTGATTTAATGATTTAATATTCATTTGATATATTATTTGATTTTATTAATATTCCGACGTATGCAGCAATTTCTCATATTGTAAGTAGACGGTTTCCATCAATCATCTCACGGATTGCAAGAAAATTCATCTCATTGGTGTTTGTCCGCGGTTGGTGTGCATTTGTTTCATTTGGCACTGACTTTCGGCCATCGGAAACTTTGATGTGTCAGTCGTAGACTTGGGTCCTTGAAAGCGTTATTTCAGCGAACTGAGCAGAGTCGACGCAAAATTTAGACAGGCTTTACTCCCTCCTGCGACAAAAATTTAATAATAATGCGTTGCTCAATAGATGTGTGAATGAGACCGTTAAAAAAAGGCTGGAAAATATTTGATTCGCCTTCTTTTTTGAGGTTTCTTTTGTGAGTTGAGTAAAATGTTTCTTCTGTTCTTCCTTAGTACGACTTAGAATTACTATATCATTTGCGTAGTGCATCTAATTATGTTTTTGGTTATATCTGCAATTTTTTCATAGCTTAATTCTCCACTAATGCAGAATTCATTTAAATGTCCTTTTTGCTGATCTTCTGACGGTATATTTTTGCTTTTGCACTTTTTTGTATATCCTTTTTGTTTAATTTTACATTATACATGGTGTACACATTTGCTATTGATTAAAATTTTGTGAATTATTATTGTTTATTTTGTTTTTCAAAAAAACCCATTCAAAATTATTCTAACCGTCTAAAAAGATTTAATTAAAGATAAATTTTTTAACCTAAAAACAAATGTATGTTACGCAAAGTTACGTTTTCTTTATGTCTGCAACGTCTTCGAAGACTTGGAGTTTATGTCCGAGGTCGTAAAAGAAGTACTAAAACACTGAAGAAGATAAAATATGAACTGTTTTGTGACTTCCTCTATGTCTTTTGGTGTTTCCTTTTTGAAGCTTTAACATTTAATTTTAACGATCGAAATCTTGTATCTTTTGTTATTCTTTAACTTTTATTTTTTTTTATTGACATACATTTTATTTTAGCAAACCGGTTTTCTTGGACTACCTGGTGCGGCGGGAATTTTGTTATAATATTTAAAGTTAGTCAAATTTCTCGGATAAGTGTATTCATCTTCGATGATGTTCCGTTTAATTTTAAGTTCAACCGCACACCCATGATCCATAACCCCGTAATAGCGATGCTTATAATGATCTTCAGGGACGTAAGCGTGATATAAGAGTCCATCAACTTCGTAAATTCTCACGTCAAGTCGTTCAGGATCAAATGCGCCTACCTTTATTAATCTATCCAGTTCCTAAAAATAACGAGATTTATTTTTATTTTTATAAATAAATAGGTATTAAAAACTTACACATAACGCTTGTTTTCCAATATTATTTCCCCACATATAAAGCATTCTCATTTGATACGGTTTCTTAATTGTATACAATAAATCTCTTATAGAAATATCATCGATGCAATTTCTTGAAATATCCAAAAGGCGTATTTTCGAAAATGGAAGATGTTTAGATAATGCTTTACATCCAGTTCCTTTTATGCTGTTTCCACAAACATTTAACCCTAAAAGTGGTGGTCTCGTTCGTAACCATCTCGCGATTAATTCTACTCCATGATCACCAAATTGATTGTTACCTAAATCCAACATTATAAGAGTTGTATTAAATTTCATTCCATAAAGCATTCTTTCAATGTCATGACCATCAAATCCACATTTTTGCATATGAAGTTCGTATAATGTTGTATTCATTTTTAACATATTTCCAAGATGTTCCGCTAAATCTCCGCTATCATAGGTATAATATAAACTACTTGGAATTATTCTAGACATATCAAAAATTCTTATACTTGTATTCGTTGAATAATCTGATCTTAAAATTGTCATAAGAAAAGGGACGCTAGCCATGGTTTGATCTGTATCGCCTAAATCAAGATGAGTTATAGTATTATTTTTTTGCAATAACATTCCAATGAAACGCCCGCCTTCCTTTCCTAATTTATTTCCTGTTAATTTTAAAGTTTTTAATTTTAAAGTATCCACTACCATATAAAGTTGTTCGATCGATTTCCATGTTAAACTACACGAAGCCATATTTAAATGTCTCATGTTGTTCTCATTTTTAAGATACATCGTTTTGAAAAGGTACATTCCTTTATCACCAATGTTGTTGTAACATATATCTAAATCGACTACATCTGGATTATCATTTAAAAAGTCGCAAATTGGCATCATATCCGAACAATCCAAACGTACTCTTTATAAAACAAAAAATTTTAAAAAATGAAGGGTTTTTAATTTTTGCAACTAACCCCTTTCTTTGGTCTAATTCCCTGCCTTTTAATCTCAAAGATTTTGTTCCGTCTGAGTTCTTCTCGCAGAACAATTGTAAAAAAATTGGCGTTAATAAGTTTTCCATAATAATATGAAAACGTTTTAAAATAAAACAGTCAAGTTTTGAAATGTCAAAATGAATATTACAGAGTAAAAATGTTAACGTCAACTATATTAATGGTATTCATCTATACTTTTTTAATTAATTAAAATTCGTATAACATCTCTTTCACTTATACATTATAGACATATTGTATAAGGCGCATTTTTGTAATTTAAAAATGAAAATATCTGCGTTTAAATAAAAATAATACAGATACAGGAATGTTAAATTTACCCAAATCCATTTGAGATGTAAAGCAATGTAGTTCAGTTTAAAGTAGGTTTAGGTAATAACTGCAGTTTCCTTTTTTTTTGTCACTCTTGCTGTTACTAGTACTGAATGTCTTTGTTGTGGCTCTGCGAAAATCGTTGAATTGAAACCATTAATATTATTATTATTGCTGCCGGGCTGAGGGGAGCGGCCCCTCTCATAACCGCGATCTATAAGATATCTATTGTAACTTAAGCCCTTGAAAAGTTCAGGGCAAATGTAGGTTCTTGATCAACCTTAGTATTGCTCCAAGGTCTTGTTCCTTTATGTCGGTAGGTGTACTTTACTGAAAATTTTGTGTCTTAGACGACCTCTGACGACGTATTCACACAGTATATTTTAGGTACGCATCACGAAGTTTAAGAGCGATCTTAGATCACCTTTGCTGAGGTATAAAACCGCTTTGGTTTAGTTTTGCTGCGGAGTTATCATACTCCTTTCCAGCGTAAGGCAACCTTTGAGGCCTCCCAACTATTGATTGCCTGATTTACGTGGCATTTTTGTAGTCCACAGCCGGGTTAGGGTCCAATAAAGGGGGTTTTCGTTTCTCTTTAGCTAGATTCTCCTCCTTTTCATTGTCCTCAACGTCTTTGTGAACTGGAACCCATCATAAAGTATCATCATTGCCCCTAGCGGGATTTCTCACGTTACTGGAACACTGAAAATGTTTATCGATGTACCTTTTCTTCCGAGTTTCTAGAAGTTTATGGCAAGAACATCTGCTTAAAAAATGATTATGTCCGAGCTAAGGGGCAATTTAATAATGCCCATATCCAACTCCGGACCCAACAGTCTTTGAAACATCGGTGTACCAGACAAAGGCTCCTCTTTTAAGTTAAGGCTTGCCCTTCGTGCAATCATTCCTGCTTCTGAATATGACCTTATACGACTAGACCAAATTATATTCTGTCGTTATAAGGTGCGTTTTAATTTCAATCCAGTGGTTTAGACGTGGGTCCTTGAGGATTTCGTGGTGTCCTCGGAGGTTACCCTGCATCAACTTGAGTAAAGAGCATGTTTTCAGTGATAAGGCAATCAAAGCTGTCTCCTTTAGTATGTATAAATGAAGTGGTGTGAAACCTAGTAGTGTTTCAAGAGCAGCCATTGGACGAGATCTCATTATTATGTTAAGACATTTGGATTGAAATAAACCGTCGCGCGTCGTATATTTTTTAAATACATTTATCGTCCTAATCATAGTAACAGCTTATATAAATGTTTTACCATTTATATAAGCTTTAAGAGACACTCCTAATCTTGATATATGCCAAGTACGTTTAGAACAGCGTTTTTCATTTGTTCCTCCAACCAACCAACTCTCTGTATTTTGCGAATCTAATTCTTTACCATTCTGACATATAATATAGCAAATAAGATTAATTTTTGAGATAAATGGATATCATGCTCCATTGGGCACTTTTACAAATAAAAATAAAATTATACACTTAAAATAGACTGAGATGTGATGAAATCATCACATCGTTTAATCATCGTGGTCATCATTATTATCTACTTGCAAACTTACTTAGGTTCCTGCCTAAGTTATCTTATCTTGGCTAAGTAACTTAACTTACCTTAGCTTTCTGCACATACACGTTTTCCAGTTTAGTCCTCCAACATCCATTCACAGTGCTTCAGTTTACAAAGAGAAGAATATATTTTCAATCACTCTTTGCAAAATATAACAGTAGTTGACTGAGACTATCTCCATATTATTATCTACTTTTCGAAGCCTCCTTATAGCAATAGTTATTCCGCGAGCACTACAAGAATTCACATAATAATAGTCTTTCAGCTTTTACTGCAACATACATAATTACAGTTGATGGGGAATTCGGCCCTGTATTCCTATAGTTGATGTTCTATTCGTAATAGCAGGTACATTAAAACATTTTACGATACAAAAACGGGAAAACTGATAAAACAATGTTAATAGATATACAAACTCCAATAAAACTCTACGTTCTTTCAGTTTCAAAATTCTTAAAAATTATTATTTTTGACAGTTACAAATGGTGGTGTCGCTATCTATTGTTAAGTTACACAACTTTTATTTTATTTATTTTTTAATATTGCAGATTTTGTTAAAATTTGTATCTTATAAACATTATTTAAAACATAACGAGAAAATAAAGAGAGTTTTATTGTAAATTATAAACAATTTTTTAATATAAATTTATAAAATTTTACAGTTTAAGGTGTCGCCATCTTTTGTACACTAACCCTATTTTATACAAACCAAAAGAAATTAAGTTTATAGGTTATGTTGCACGTGTTTAGAGGTTATGTTAACTCTCTCTGTTAAAACATCGAAGTGAAATTAAAAAAATCAAGATGAGTACTTCGTTAAAAGAACAATTACGAAAATTAGCGGTGCCTCAATCGTCCGCGATAGTAAGAAGTAAAAAGCGGGCATCGATTCTTTTTACACCCGAAGAAGCGGCAGAAAAATCAAGAGAAACCGTTTTTGAAATTGGTACTTATGGCTTAGAAGAGTTGATAAAAAGAAATTCAAACTTTGAAGAATTTAGAAATAACTTATTCCATGAAACTTACAAAAATTTTGAAAGATCTGTTCATGATACATCAATGAATGAAAAATTGGATAAAAACATACAAAAATTTTGTTTGTATTTGTCTCCGTATTTCGTACTTAAAGACGCTTGTATGGCTTTGGAATGGTTAATATATAGATATAGTATACAAGAATATAATAGAAATGATTTTTTAATGATGATGTTGCCTTATCATGAGACAAACATGTTTATACGAGCTTTGCAAGTAATCCCAATTAAAAATGAAAACGATAATTTTGGATGGTTGAAAAAGCTACAAAAATCAAGGTTACCTTTATCAAAAAATATGCTGTATAATCACGCATCTTCAAACCCAGCATTTTTAAAATCAATTTCTACTTATTTATTAGCCGCTGTTAAGCTTCATAATGAACCAGAACGGCTAAATGTATTCTTCAATTTTTATTGCTTAACATTTTGCGGTGCCATTCAACATACACAAGTTATTGATGATCGTCATGTTACATCAATAATCCCCGCTTTATTAAAAGGATTAAAAAGTGACATATCCGATTTTTTAGCTGGATCAATTATAATCACATCTACATTAATATCAAAAACCGGGCTAACAGAAAAATTATTGAACAAATTCATCGAATCAATTTCTAATTTTAATGTTACAAATTTAAATGAATCTTGTGTTATGTTGTTGGTGAAGATTTATCAGACTCAAAGCGATTTTAAAGAGATTAGTTCAAATGCTGTTGAAAAATTGGCTAATCAAAAATGGATTTGTAAAATTTTGGAAGATATTAACCAAAAATTTTTGATTGATGAATTTTTGAAGGTTCTTTTTAAAGGGATTTTGAATAATTTGGTTGATAATGGTGAGAATGTTGATGGTAAATGTGGATTTTTGGTTGAAATATTAAATGGTGTTGAATTAAAAGAAGATATTGTGATTTATTTAATTGGGTAAATTTAATACTATATTACTTTAATACAAAAACATAAGAATATAGGAATGATATTTCAGCAAAAATTAACCTTCCTCACAAAGTTACACAGCACTTTAAAGTTAGGGGAAAGAAATTGTTTTTATTTAATAAATCCACTATGGAGGAATTTAGAAGAATGAAATTTGGCAGACAACTGTTGCTAATAAAATGACACTTTTTATAATCCTAAAATGAACTAAACTTTGCATCAGAACTTTTTAATGCGTCTACATTTGTCTTTTTAAAAACTTGATTCAAATAGAGGGATTCAATACGCAACTTTTTTGTCTCTTGGCATTTTCTCCTAAAATTGTTAGTTTAATCACAAAAAAATAAAATAATCACAGGCTCAAGTGAATTAATTTAAAGATTGGTTATTATTAGTCAAAAAAATGAAGTTATTTCAAATTGATCTCAGCATTATTTTATTTTTTGTGATCAAACAAACAATTTATTAGTTGTAAAATGTCAAGAGATGAGAAAGTTGCAGATTTTTTCCCTTAACTTTAGAGGGCTAATTTGGAGGAGAAGGGGATTTGAACAAAAAGTTATATCAAAGACACCCCTTAATTTTCGCTGAAAAATCACCCCTTGCTACTTGATCAACTACTTTATCGCCCCTAAATCATTATCTTAACTAAACCACCCGCTAGATGGCGTTACCATATTATTAATAAATGTACAGGTTTTCCCACTTAAGCGACAAAGTACATGAAGGGCATTAAGGAGTCAAGATACGCAGTTCTTCCTTAGACAAAAGTTGTAGGAAATTTATCACACTATAAACGGAAAATATTTTTATACATATAGGTGTTCCATAACGACGTACTGAAATAAATAAATATTATGTTATTTTACATGGAATGACATAGTTTTTATTGCGTATTCTGATTCTACACACAAAACTAAGTTGACTTCGATAATACATGTTGATACCTGAGATATTTTAATTAGAAGCTTTTTTTAGCAATTAACACTGTGCTCTTCAAATCTAAATATCTTGGCGACTGATCTTGCTAGAAAGTTAAAATTTGTGACAGTTGCTGCTGTCAGAAATTTTAATCAGTCTATCTTATATAGGGCTGTTCAAAAATGTAACTACTGTTTTACTACATTCAATTACAAAAAAGTCGAAAGTTTTAAATGGAACACCCCATATTTGATTAGCTTATCAGATAGTGAATTTAATTCTCTCCAAATCTTCAGTACATGTCCCTATACCTATCTGTTGCAGTTGTTGAGATAGAGCGAAATGAATCAAAATCATGCAAAGAATGGCAGATTTTATTTATTTTTTCTATTAGTAGGCCATGAAATATATGCATTTGACAGGTTTCCAGTGATGCCGCCATAATTGTTTGTAATTTCACAGGATTTCGGTTGACTAAGCCCAACCCAACGTTTCTCTTAGTTTCACAAATTTATCTTTGCTCATTGATTTTGTAAAAAAATCTGCTGGTTTCTATTTGAATCTACTTTAATTATATTTATGATTCCTTCCATATAACATTCATTTACAAAATAATGAATGCACTTCAATATACTTTGAATTCTTAGTGAAATTTCCATATTTAGCAATACTCAAAGTTCCCGAATTATCGTCGTATATCTTAGGTGCCGCTTCTGATAAGGCTACATATTCGGCAAAGGTTGAAGATTTAGTTGCACTACTCTGTTTTCTAGATTTCCAATGTACAACATTTCCAAACAATTTCATTACATAGCCTAACTAAGATTTTCTATCTAAATTGTCTTCTGCCCAATCTGCGTCTACATCGCAATCAAGAATTTCACAAGTATCTTTCCTATTGTTAGTTAACTTTATGTCTTTTGTCAAATATAAATACTTCAAAACTGTCAAGGCATATTTAAAATGAGTTTCATTATAACAATTTTGAAATCGACTTAAGTAATTAACGCTATAGCTTAAATTTGGTCTAGTCGCGGAACTTATATACAGAAGTACCCCTTTCAGATTTCTATACATAATATTATTAGATATCTCTTGTGCAGGTTCCTATTTTAAATTCACTTCCATTGGCGTTTTAAACAATTTTGAGCTTTTAATTTTGTATTTCTCAGCTAAAGATTTAATGTATTCTTCCTGACTAAGAGTCATTACATTTTTTGTGCAATCATAATCAATATTAATTCCAAGATAGTTTTTCACTTCACCCATATCGTTCTTTTTCTTATATTTACAACATATTAATAGATGTATATTGTTGTTAATGCGTAATGCTTCATGGATGGAGAAGTATGTGTTGCTGTGGTACTGGCAGGAGACTACGCCAACGCACTGAATATGCCACGTGAGATCTTGGCGAAACGTCTGCCCCTTTCCAAAGGGAACCAACAAGAAGAACGGATGAAATCACGGACCGACCACAGCAACACATGTATATTGTTGTATAAACAATAGTCACATTTATTCTCTTGTCTGAGTCATCCTCAAATTCTTTAGCTTGATTTAAATATATTTCTGAAAAAATCTTACCATTCAAGAAAGCGGTCTCTACGTCCATTTGATCTATAATTAATTTCTCCTGGCAGCAATATTATAACAATATTTTTAAAATTTGCATTTTTAACTACTGGTGAATAAATATCATCCACAATTTCAGATTGTTGAAAACCTTTTACAACTAATTTCGCTTTATCAATGTTATTTGACTTTTTTGTATTAACCCATTTAACATCTAAACTTTTTTTATTCTCTGGCTTTTTGACAAATTTCCAAGTTTTATTTTTCTTTGAAAATTCCTTATTCATTGCTTGATTACTATTTATCGCCTCCTCAAAATTATTTGGATTTTCGACATTGCAAAAGTTCACATAAAGATAACTATCATCATATCTAGCCGGCATTTTCCTTTCTCTCTTTAATCTTCTCGAGTTTTGATACGTTCTTTGTTCTTGTTTAATTGTTTTATTTTCGAATTCAATTTCTGTACTTTCATCTTGTATTTCTGAATCACTAGAATTTGAATCACTATCAAATTAATTGTCAGTTCTTTTTGTATCTAAACCTATGCATTCTTCTCCACAACATCAACATGTCTAGCTACAATGATTCTGTTATTTACTAAAATTCTATACCCAACCTCAGTATAACCCAGCAAAATTCCCAAATCAGTTTATCTTTTTTATCCCGTTTAGACCTTTTTAACTGTTTTGGTCTTCGAACAAAAATTGTACTTTCATATAGACATAAATATTTAATGGTAGGCTTTCTTCCAAACATTATTTTGTAAGGCGAAAATTTTCGATCTATTTTTGCTTCTTCTAATAAACATCTAGGCATGTCCATAGTTGATCTGTTATATCTTTCTGCTATACTATTTATAGTAACACCTTTCTCTCTAATTAAATGTTTAATACTTGAATTTAAATATTCTTTTCCATAATCGCATCTTAGTATTTTAATAGGTTTGCCAATCAGATTTTCTATTTCATGTATATATTCTACAAAGCAATTATAAACTTTATGTTTTGATTTAATGGTATACACTTTAGCTATCATCAATAAATGTCAAAAAATATTTTTCACCATTAAGGTCCATTACTACCATCTTTTAGATAAATTTATCTTATAGATAAACCTATCTACTAGCCAATCAGAGCGCGTAAAATAACCGTAACCGTGGTAATAATCCCTTAGATAGCTTAACCAGAAGATGGTAGTAACGAGCCTAAGGCCCACTTTTACCATCCTCCTGATAAACTATCTAGAGGATAGTTGCCATGGTTACGGCGGTTTTAAGCGCTCTCATTGGCTAAGAACTGGATTTATCTATCGGATAAATTTATCAGGAGGTGGTAAAAGTGGGCCTAAATCGGATAGTCATATGAGGCCCATTCAAATCAGTGTGAACTAAAATTGCTTTAGCTTTACTTCTGTTATTATCAAAAGGTAAATTACGCATCTTATTTTCAATACAAGTTTTACATTTCATATACTCAGTTTCTAAATGTTCAGGTATTCCATCTAATAATTGGTTTTTACACAAAGTGGTTAAATCAGAAAAATTTACATGTTAATCTCCTTATTTTTAATCATACTTGGCATTTTATATATATAATCTACCCTCTTTCCTAGCAAGACATTAATAAATGTATATAATTTAACAAATTTATTTTTTTTTAGATTAATTTATGAATTAAATACAAAGACAACCTCGAAGTCGATACAATCTTGGATGAAAGAAATAATTTTAAATGTCGAAACGAAATACCCCAACATTTTCGACAAAGAAATTAATAAACTCTTAAAAATCATCCCTGGTGAAGCGTTATCAAAGGAACAAAAACGTTTTCAAAACGTTTTAGCTTCAAGTGATAACAACGAAATTCTTCAACAACTTTATCATCCAGCGGCAAGCGTTCGTAAAGAAAGTATAAAAAATTTAATGGCGAATTCTTCTAATCTCAAAGAAAGGGAACAAACTTTCTTAAGAGACGCACTTTTGGATCGATTAAACGATGATAATCAAGACGTTGTGTTTGAAGCGTTAAAATGTTCAAAGAAATTTATTTCCGATTTAATAGACGACGAGGTATTGGTGAATATTTTAGTTAAAGTTTTATATAAATGCCAAGAAAATGGAGATGAATGGAAATCGGTTGCAAAATTATCTTTGCAAATACTTTGTGGAATCGGTAAAGAAGACGATATGAATGTTTTTATTGCTATTTTTTTGTACTTATTACCAGTTGATGATACCGAGATGATTTTGGCTAAATTAATTGTTGAAAGTGATTATTTTTGTAAATCAAAAACGTTTTGTAACGCTCAGAAAGATTTGATTGGATGCCAAACATCCGAAACGTTTGTTTCGATCGTTTTGGGTTGCATCAAATCATGTAAAATTAATATTTCCGAGCTTATTGTAGCTTTACAAAAAATTTCGTCCGAAAATAATAGTACTTTGCATAAATACGTAACAAGTTTGTTACTTTGTAGCATATCACAAGATGATTACTCGCCAAACATAGCTTATTTAATCTTAAAAATAATAATGAGCTTTTTGAGCGGGGTAAAATTAAAATATCAAAGCAAATTTAAATCGGTTGCAACCGGAATTATTTTAGCCCGCAAAAACAAATTTTCTTTACAAGGATTTTTATACTTTTTAGAAACTTTATGTGTTAAATGCGTTAAGGTCGATTTATGCTTATTCGATTTTGGGGCAAATTCGGATTCATCTAATTTTTTTATAACAATCTTTGGCGTGTTATTGCAAGGTTGTTGCACTATTATGAAACAAAAAATATCTAATATTTACGCGATTACACTCAAAAACATTTTAAATCTTTTTTGTTGCGATTTAAAATCAAAATTGGGCACGTTTTTAAACATTTCAATCGCCTATAATCCCGAAATTGATAACGGCTTAAAATTGAGGTGTTTGCGAACAATTAATTCGATGTTAGAATCGACAGAAGATGTTAAAATTGGAGATAATTTCTTAATTGGGGTTTTAATATGTTTCGGAAACGAAGAAAAAGAAATTCGGGAGGCTGCGTTTAATGTAATTGAGACTTTATTAAGATTTAGTTTAAATGGGGTACATTTAAGTTTAATTAAGGGGGTTAAGCGATATAAAGATGAGATATTGTCGGATTATAATCAAATCCCTGTTGTGATTAATACTATCACGGAAGGAAATGGAATTTTAAATCTTTTATTAAATGTAATGATTAAAAGTGACCAATTATACGTGAGAATCGGTTTAGGTAAATTGTTGATGCTTCATAGTGATTTAAATGTTTATAATAAAATCTCCCAGGTTTGTTTAGACATGATTAAAAGTGTTGATGATGATTATAAATTTAAATCATCTGAATCGCAATTCATTAAGAACGTTATTGAGAAATTAGATCAAAATGTTGCTTCAAAACTAACATTAGAAATGAACGTATTAAATTTAATTTCTTTATCCCTCGAAAAGGAAAATATAAAATTATTCTTAAACACCTCCGACGTTGTATTACCTTTCATTACTTTATCGATAATTGATCGCGAAACGTTCGAAAATTTTCCAAAAAATTTAAAATCGTTTATATTACAAAAATTAATCGCGATAAAAACGAAATCGCAAAATCCCGATGTTGTAGCATCGGCCAATAAAACGTTTAAACACATCGATTTAGATTCGAAATTAATCTTGGAGTATTTCATAAAAATGCGTGATGTTCAATCGCAAAAGATTTCGGCTCAAAAACGTAAAAGGAGAATAAGCATAATTCCAAGTGTTGATATATTAGATATGGTTGAGTGGAGACAAGGTTTGACCGTGTTAGAATCGATTCATGATAAGAAAAAGATTCAAAATCCTTCAATTTTATTACCCGTTTTATTTGAAATATTAAATAAGTGTCTACAATTCGATGAACAATCAAACGTTGAGTACCCAAAGCAATTAATATTATCTTGCATTCTAAATAGTTGTAAACGCGCGGAAGATCTCCCAGAAAACGTTTTTAGCGTAGAAATAATCGTACAATGTATAAGAGCGTCTCAAAACCCCCAAACGCATCATGAAGCACTTTCAGTTTTAGCCCACACTGCTCATTTAATTCCCAACCAAGTTTTGCATCACATTATGGCTATTTTTACGTTTATGGGGTCGTCTGTGTTACGATATGATGACGCTTATAGTTTTCAAATCATTAATAAAATCGTTGATACGATTCTTCCAATTTTGGTTAAAAATGATTCGACGGAAAATATCGTTAAAGTTCTTCGCGTTTTTGTCGATGCCATTTTAGACGTACCAGAACACCGTCGAATGCCACTATATAAAAACCTCCTCGAAAAAGTCGATGTTAACCAAAATTTGTACGTTTTCTTATTGTTAATGTTCGAAGCCCACGTAATTCACGCAAATAGCGAAAAACAAAAAGCCAAAGAAACAACGAGAGGCGAATTAATCGTCCCGAAACGTTTAGATATCGCGGCAGATATAGCTAGGTTATTTACAACGGAAATTGTTATCTGTAGTTGCACAAAGTTGTTGCAATACTTACAAAATTTGCCTGAAGAAAAGGAGGATTTACCCGAAAAGTTATTGATTGATATTAATCATTACTCACCAAAACAATTTAGACACTACAAATATATAACGGTAACTTTTATTTCATCTTTGTTATCATCGAAAGAATTTGTCCATAAAGTCGCTAACTTATCAGATGAAGCTTTATTAAATTTAGAACCGATTTATAAAAATATGATTATAAATATCTTAACTTATATTCAAAATGTGGCTAAAACCGTCGATAAAAATATCGATACCCCACAAAGCCAATATTGGAAAATTATGTTACATCATAATTATGATGTTTTAGATAGTATTAATGCGTTGTTAACACCTCAAATGTTTTTATTGGTAGTTCGAGGTCTCTCAACGCACAATTTATCAACAGTGAGAAGGAGAGCTTTAGAATTAATGAATGCTAAATTACAACATGATTCAAACTTCTTCAAAAACGCACCAGAAAATGAACTCCACGCCATAATCCCATGCTTAATTAACATCGTTAAACAAACCGAAGAAAATCTACCAAGCGAAAACGAAGTAATCATTCAAACATCTTTATTATCACTAAAATTATTAGTAAAGTTATTAGCCCCCGAAAATCCAGAAAAATTCATCCCCGTTTTAGACTTTATTAGTATCCTCATTAAATCGGGAAATGCAAAAGGAAATATTTTAGCATCGACGGTTTTGTGTTTAGCAGAACTTTGTAATCAACTTCGCGCACATTCAATTTCAAATTTACCCAAATTTATGCCAGCTTTAATTAAATTGTTGAAATCTCACAAACACCAAGACGAACCCGATCTTTTATTATTAAGCACAACAACCGCGCTACAAAAAATAATCGAAAGCGTACCTTTATTTCTTAGTTCTTACTTAGAAAAGCTCCTTTTTGAGTTATCTTTAATTTCGGCTAAGTGGAATAAATCCGAAAAAATACAACCGTTCGTCACAAAATTAATTAACATTAAAATTAAAATCGGTACAACAATTCCAGCAAGGGTTTTAATCCCAATTATAGAAACAACATACAAAAAATTAATCAGTAAAAATTCGTACAAAGGAATATCTCCTTTAATGGAAGTTTTAAATCAAAAATTATCAAACATGGATAACATCGAAATCCAATCGAATTTAAATGATTTAACTTCATTTTTTATGAATGCCTTACAATTTCGTTCGGAACAATTAACACAATTAGAAGAAACGAATGAAATCGAGACTTATATAATAAAAACTTTCGTGACGCTTATTTTAAAACTTTCTGAAACGAGTTTTAGGCCGCTTTATTATAAAATTTACGATTGGGCGATTAGAAGTGATACAAAAACCGAAAGAATAATAACTTTTTATTCACTTTCAAGTGAAGTGGCTTCATGTTTAAAGGGACTTTTCGTGTTATTCGCTGGGCATTTCTTAAATAACGCAGCAACAATCTTAGATTCATGCAATTTATTGAAACAAACTGAAATTTATTTTGAAGACGAACAAAAATCTTTATTATTATTAGAAAACGTTTTAAAAACTTTGTATGTTATCTTTCTTCATGATTCGCGAAGATTTATCAATAAAGAACGATTTGATGTTTTGATGCAACCGATTGTTGATCAACTTGAAAATAATCTCGGTGGTGAAAATCGCCTTGTTGATAGAGTTAAAGACTTGGTTATTCCGACTATTGTTCAATTTGCCGTTGCGACTGGTGATGACGCTTTGTGGAAACAACTTAATTATCAAGTATTGTTAAAAATGCGTCACACGTCTGCGAAAATAAGACTTGGTTCGCTTAAATGCGTATTGGAGTTATCTAGAAAACTTGGAGAAGAATTTTTGCCTTTATTACCGGAAACTATTCCTTTCCTTGCTGAGTTATTAGAAGATGAAGAAGAGGAAGTGGAAAAAACTTGTCAAAAAACAGTACAAGAAATGGAAAAAATTTTGGGAGAACCATTACAAAAATATTTTTAGGATTAAAACTAGTTTTTTTTAAATATTAAATAAAACTTTGCATTTTTTATCGTTTATTTTATTACCAAGAAATAATAAGTATAAAAGAAAGAAAAATCGTTACAATTCCTTCGTCATGAACATAGCATATTATAATTTATTAACTTAAATATAAAGGTCATTATTAATCAGGCCAATGATCCAGGTGAAGTCACTGAGAAAGTTTTCAATTCCTCTTCATTGCACACAGGGGAAGAGTTTTTCCTAAAAATCAAATCCATATTTAATTTTATTTAAAATTTTCTTATTTCTGTTCTCTAATCGAGTTTTATCTCTGTTACAATCAAAATTTTAGGTAAAAAAGACATTTTTAGTTAACTTCTAACTTACCTTTTCCTGTATTGGAAGATGATAAAAAGTATTATAGCGTTGATTGTAAACAACAAAGCAATTAATACAATTGGAGCAATTAATTCTATAAAAAAAATATTTTTAATGAAGGAAGGTTACGAAAATAGGAATTTTTACCTTGCATGTTGGATTGATGTGAAATTTTTCTAGAAGAATATTCCTGGATGTCAGTTATTAATCGTTTGTCTATAAATAAAAAATATTTTAATAATTTATTTACATATTTAAATTATTTAAGAAAAATTAATTCGTATTATTTAAAAACCCCGCTTTTATTTTAATCACATGACCCCAAACATAACCTAAGATATAACCCCGTTAAAGAAGGATGAAGTTAAATCGATAAATCCTATTTTTTGTATTACTCAACAGTATATTTTAACACAACGATAGCAATAAATCAAAATTTAACAATAAAATGGAACAAAACGATTAAATTTTAAACACGTGTCCATAAAATTGATTAATTATTAAAAATATGAAAATGAATGCAATACAAATTTTAATACAAGCAAATTTTAGGAAGAATTTGAATGAAACTGTGTTTAATTTTCGGTTTTCTTTACCTTAACCCGGACGCCTCGAACAAAGGAAGAGGAACTGGTTATGTTATCGGTAAGAAACGCTGCAGCAACAGCCAAAAGCGAAGTAGGAGTAAAATATAAATAAACACAATAAAAGTAAGGTCATTACTTAAATACATACGTTTTTTACGCGTAATATCGTTTTAAATTCCAATCTGATGATGTAAAATGTTTTTTTTATATATTTAATATGTAATCTAATTAATTTTAATTTATGAATTTTTTCTTAGAATTTTGCAGCTACATCTGGCGGAAAAATTTTGAACTAATACGTTATTTTAAAAATTTGAAATTTTATTTTGCTTAAGACATTTTTTATGCACAAACAGTATTGTTAAATACCCCGATATTTATTTTTAAGGGAAAATTCAATTAACTCATTAAATTTAAAAAATTTAATTTAAATTGAGTTGACAGCAGTTTTACAAGCATTTCAGGAAGGCAGAGTCGATTATTGATACATCAAACTTATTTTTGTAATTCGCGACGGTAATGAAAGCTATAAAAGTACTCAAACGGGTGCTGTAATGAGACTCCTTACAGCATCCGATGCTGTAATGAGATTTTAGTAACATTTTATGAAACCAGTTCATGTTGGTGACATTGGGTCATTAATTTTTCTAGTTGTCAATGTGACAATGTTTGTCTATGGATGTTTAAATACGTTCTTAGCATCGAATACAAGGTCCACAATGATGAGGACATTGAACTCTGAGGAATTTCTCTTATTTTGTGAGGTGTACATGAAACATGTTTATCAGGTGAATACATTTTGTGTTTTTTTCAACTTGAATTCGTGCATTTCAAACGTGTCTTACGAAACTTGTTTTTTAATATACTATTATAACATCAACAAGAATGCTACAATGACGGTAAAATTGCATGAACTGTATACTGACTGGGCGTGGGGTAAGACAAGGTGATACAATGTCCCCCAAATTGTTCATCAGTGCATTTAAACAACTGGATTGGACCCAAAAAGACATAAACATTGATCATCAATGTTTATGCCTAAGTAATTTTCGCTACGCGGACAATATAGTCCTTATTTGTGATAGCCTTGGAGAGATGAAACTGACTTACAGGAGGTGTGTGCATGAATCGGGCTAAATATCAACACGTGGAGAAATAAAATTTATGACAAATCTTGTTCCCAGCTCTAACATCAACATTAGGCATAATGAGATTGAGAGGGTTAACAGCTATGTTTATCTTGGCCATGAGGTTCGTGTATCGAGAGATAGTCAAACAAGCGAAAGGGTCACACTCAAACTTACAGACATATTCAAGAGCGATATATTTGAAAAGAACGGCTTTCAATTAATGCGTGCTTCCGGTTATGACATATCTACTGACAGGAGGCTCAAAGTAACGCAAAGAAATATGGAGAAGTCGATGCTGGGTGTAACCCTGAGGGACCACATACGAAATGAAGACTTACGCAGAAGAACTGGCGAAAATGATGTAGCCAACATTGTGGCAAAGTTCAAGTAGAACTGAATAAGCAGTGGATAAAACGGTTGCTTGAGTAAAGATCGCGAGCGGACAGACGAAGTAGAGAAACACGCTGGACGGACGACGTCAGAAGAATTACCAATAAATGGATTCAGACAACACAGAATAGAATCGAATGAAACAGAATATGGATGCCTATGTCCAACAATGGACGCAGAGGGTTGCTTATGATAATGATGATCAGATCGATTTAAAAACAGTACAAAGACCACTACAAAAATAAATAAGTTTAATTCAAAAATAAAAGTTCTTCTTTAATAAAAAGCAATAACAATGGTCGTTTATACAAGAACTCATACAAATAAAAAATTAAACGCTAAATAATATATTAAGTTTTAATCCTAATAACTTGATCATCGATATATCACTTTTTTTTTCTGAAAAGCTTTGAAACCGGATACTGTGTAGATTTATCCAACACGAAGATGTGGACTAAAATATCTTAAAATAGACACTATCGCAACTGCTCAAGCTAGGAATATTCCAGCACTTGAACTCAACATATTGTTTATATTCAAACGGCACCATACAGTCCAGCATTGAATTAAACTTATTGAATCCGGCGATGGGAATAATAATCTAAATTGTGTATTATTTGCATTTTATCACCAGTTTAGTTGCATGTGGAAATAGCAAAAATCAATTGGTCCCAATAAACTGGCGTCAGTAATCATACCGCCAATAAAGTTGACCAAAAGCTAAGTTTCCACATGCATGGATTACTGGCGCCAGTTCATTTGCATGTGCAAATAGCAAAAAACCACATGTCCCCAATAAATTAATGCCAGTAATCATAGCGCCAATAAAGTTGACGCTACTTCTACTTTTTGGAGCCAGTAATAGTATTTATAAAGAAAACGTGTAACTATTAACGTGTTCGTCCAACTAAAATGAACAAATCCGCTAATAAACCGTCCAAAAAATGGACATCAGAACAAACAGTATTATTTCTAGAAACGTACGAACAATGTCCTTGTTTGTGGAATCACAAAATTCCACAATATAAAGACCGACTAGCACGAAATGAAGCTGTCAGAATGACAATTGAAATTCTGATGAAAACGGTTCCTAATTTTGACGAAACCTCGGCAAAAGCTTCGTAAATAGCATCAAGTACTTCACACGTTTTGGCCAACGATACATATATTGTAAGGATGTAAAAGAATCTCCAGAGGCTAAAAATCTTAACGTTGCTTGCAGTTTTACGTGAGCTGAAATGGCACCTCCCATATGCGTATGTTGTTTTTGTCAACAAAAACATGAAACTCTCTTCAGTCATTCTTAAATGATTAAAAAATGCTTCCTGATCTTCATGGCATAATTCTCTAATTAAAGTACTAGACGCACCTAGGTTATTTCTACGTGCAATCCACGATCTAACCCAGCAACTATGTTTTCGCTTTTTTTTTGTTAATAACGTGTGCAGTTCCAAGGAGCACATTTGGTCTACCACTTGACGCCATTTTTATTACTGTGCCAGTACACAATTATAACATTTATGTGGAAACAACTTCTAGCGCCAGCTAATTGGCTTCGTACTGGCGTCAGTAATCCATGCATGTGGAAACTTAGCTTAATGCACCTAGGTAAGTTTCACGATCGAACCCAGCAGCTTTGTTTTCTTTTTTTTTTGTTAATAACATGCGTAGTTCCAAGGAGCACATTTGCATTATTACATTGATGCCAGCACGAAGTAATTACATCACTTGACGCCATTTTTATTATTATGCCAGTACACAATAATCACATTTATGTGGAAACAACTTCTGGCACCAACTAATTGGCGCCACTAAACTAGCTTCTTACTGCCGCCAGTCCGGCATGTGGAAACTTAGCTTAAGAAATTCTGGGAAGATTTTATTGGTTTATGTGGATAAAACGACTTAAAAATCTAAATATTTTCTACATAAAATTGGGTTATGATGAATGAATTAACCTACTGTCGTTCGTTCTTTTACACATCCAAAGAGCTAAGCTTGTTTTATACGATGTCTTATAATCAATCATGGCAGATACTCGAAATTTGAGTAGTAATTTATTTTCTCTAGATATGTGAATAAGTCTTCTCTGGACATGGGTGAACCGCAGACATTCCATGTTATTTATTATTCTTTCTGTTTAGCATTGAAAGTGATAAATTCGTTTTTAAATTCAAAGAAATAATTTCAAATCACATTGATATGTAACTGGCTTAACGTTTTTAGTTTTTTTGTAGTTCTTGCGATTATATGAAGTTATGTGTTATTTATTTGAATGTCTAAGTTATTACTTAGGAAGTGGTTTCCTTGCGGTAGATATCTTTATTTTGCTATATTTGGTGATATGCTATGTCATTACGCTTTTTATATAAAGGAATACCTAATAAATAGAATTTATTGTTGGTAAAGTTCTCAGAGTTAGTCAAATATTTCATCGTAGTTGCTAATGGTTGTTCATTTATTGCAACATTTATTACACTAGCGCTGTTACACACGTTTTTACTATACCCAAAATGGCCAAAATTATTCTGATCTATTAACATCCAAGAGAAAATCCAAACAAAAGCAATTTATGCTCTATTGTTATTGACTGCAAAACCGAAGATCTAATTATGCCCACATTTCAGATATATTTTCAACTTTCTGGGATGGATCTTTTATGGATTAACCATAAAAACTAAGCTATCACACCTTAATAATGTACTAACCAAGTGTAGTGTTTATCACTGTCCTAACTTGTACTTATTTAATTTTTTCAGAATCGATGTTAATTTTTGGAATATATAGTAAATAAATTACTTCATTATAGCATATCTGTCACAAAAGTCGTTCGCCCAACATAAACACAATATGCAAATAGCTTACATATTTGTTTCACTGTAATTTTATTTGCATTCATAGAGAAATATTTAAACGTTAATTAAGAATTTTTTTATTTAGAATTTCTCTTCATATTTTTCCATTGAACATATTTCAAACACTTAAGCCTCGGTACAGATAACACTATTACTGAACGCATTTCGAGAAATAATATTGGCATGAGCTAAACATCCTGAATAAACTGGAGAAATTCTTGCTTCTATTCTTGAGTTAACTTAATCTTGTGAACCAAGATATTTATGCAAAATTCGCTGTAATGTGGTTTGAGGGATTCCTAATTCCTGTAAATGGCTTAATTGACTGATTTAGCTTATTTTGAACTGAAGCACTTATAGCTGCGATATTTTTTGCGCTTTTTGTTATCTTATTAGTGCAGAAGCATACAATAGTGAACACCTCCACTCAAATTTATCCACAACAGTACACATAGCTTGTTTAGTAGGATAATTATTATAACCAAAAATTGGAGTAAGCACTCTTAAAACTACTTTTCTTATCAAACTCAGAATTGCGGTATTAATTTTTAACCATTTCCAAACGTTGCTCATTGTAATCTTCACCGTGATAAAAATATTAACCTACGTTTTGACGTTGAGGTCATAAAAAACATTCAAGAGTTTTTGATGTTTGATATCATGCTGAATATCAAGCTGTGCGTGATAAATTTATATAAAACTGTCAGTCTGCTGACTCATGTAGAGTAAAGGTACGTGCTTTACGGTGTGGGTTGGGTTAGGTTGCGAATTATAAGTAAAAACAACATATGTGCCACCAGCTTTTCTATAATAAATGAAATTTAGGAGGAATTAATTCTCCTATATTTGAGTAACAATAGTACCTCGTTTTGAGTAACAGCCATTATTGACCTTTAAATATGGCCACCATGGATAATAGCAATGTTATCAAAATGGCAGGAAGATTTTTTCTGAACAAGCTTGGTCTTCAGGTTGTGGGAGAGTATCAAAGAAACAAAATGCCGAGTCCTAGACGTTAGAGGAAGCATTAGAAAACGTTTAGGAGAAAGTTCTCAGCTACTACTCAATAAGAGAAATTCAAACCAACAAGGGCTGTGTTTAGAGTGTTAAAGATAGAAAGCTATGTTGTATAAATCAAATTGACTTGTTGGCTGCTGGGTTAATATTACGCTCGTATTATGAAAAAGCTTTTAAGCTGAGGTGCATATTATACTATATTTTCTAAAATCACGCTTGACAGAAACATGTAAAGAGAAAGCTTTATCGATTAGAATAAGTTGGAGAAGTCATATCCAGCTAACCAGACTTCTCCCTACTAATATTTTAATAAAATATGATTTTAATGATCCATATGGAAGTATGTTATTGGTCACACGGCGACCAGTTGACTACCATGTAAGACACAAAGTGTTAATCTATTAAGTTCTTTTTCTTCCATCATAACCTATACTGTATGTATTTTGTTTCAATGTATTGCATAGCGAAAAAAAATTAATTACTCTAAAAATCGATTTAAAAATCTCGAATCCGTTGAGTAAAATTATCATGGCGTCATTTTATAGAAAAGGTTGATTTAATACAGAAGTAATTTGCTTTGGGCTTAAAGTTTCATTCACTTTATAATACATTCATTGTCAAATATTATTTTATTTAGTTTATAAATTAAAAAAAAAATAATAAGATTAAAGTATTTTAGTATTAATTTGAAACCTTGAAATTGCAAAGAAAATAATTTACACAAAGTTATTTTTTAATAAACGTCCCACACCATCGTTAGGTTTTTAACGATATAACGAGTTCAACTACCTTTTTATTAAATAATTGCATTCATTGAACCTATGGGCGATATATTTTTGTGTTTAATTTTGTTTTATGATCGCAAAATGCGTTTAATCTTGTTTATAGAAATTTATCTTATCCATTTTTATATCTCACTAATGATACAAATAATTAAGTTAATGATACAAAACTATAACAAAAACAAACTAATAATAATCTAAGTTCATTACATATTATTTAAAATATTTCCCAAATGATTATAATTAAATATATAATCAAACTCAAGTTCTGTTTTAACTTACATTTTTTGTTTTGAACCAACCTACTGTTTTGACGTACAAACACTTACTGACCACATTATTATAGATAAGAACGACTTTTTATGGCGCATTTAAGGACGCTTCGATGTCGAACAAACTCTTTATACGCATAATAGCTACGTCACTATTCTATTTACGTTTGTGCATTATTTTCGCTTCTCAAGCACGTACTGTTTTCGTTAACGACTTCCTGTCGGATATTGAATGGCTTTAAAGCGTCAATTGGAAACGATTTGTACAAAAAAATTATAATTTAAATTAATAAAAAGATAATACTTACTATCACAAGATGGAAGCGGTAGTATAAAATCCCATTTGTAACCTATACACTTAATAACTTTAGTTTTTTGATTAGTATCACTAAAAGTAAAATCTGCACAACACCCAAAAATTGTAACACTTTCATTTTTAGACACCAAATATCCGTTATTTGGTATATTTAATGGTTTACATCCCACAGGGGCATAATGAAATAGCACTCCTCTTCGAGGTGTTAAAATTTCAGTTGAAGATAAAATTATTTCAATTGAATCTGAGACGGAAGTCATTTGTGTTAGAGATTGATTTTGATTGCAAGATGAGTAGATAGTTTGACCGGAGTCTTTTATCAATAATTGATCGTTGCAGTTTTCGGTGTTACCTAAAAAAAATTAAATTGGATGGTTTTGTTAAAAATAAGGATTTAATTATTTTTTACCGAATAGAGATAAATCTAAAATAGTAACTTTAATCCTTTGGTAATGGGGAGCGGTAATCCTCCAGGTGCACCTTTCCTGTCCTAAATAGAATTTTGGGTAACCTGGGCTATGGACGTAAGCCTCAGATGAACCTGGATTATCGTTATCTGGCAGTGTTATATCTTGGTTGCAATATTTTTTTATTTCTGTATCTAAAAAAAAATTTTTTGATTTGGTGTTTTTAATTAGATTTTTTCATACCTGATATGCAAGCATATGTTACAGATAAATTTCCTGATCCCCATCGAGAAGCAATAGGGCTGTCTTGATTGACTATAAAGCTGCAATGACTAACACCTGAGCATCTAAAAAAACAAATTAAAATAGTTAAAAAAATATATATTTGGGGAGGTGTTGGATACATATGTCTATAGAATAGTGATGGAACGGATAGTGATTTTCCGGCCATTATGGTTATAATTTCTGGTGCATTTCTGAAGTGATACCCTATATTGCCACATTATTGCGATATTTCAATAAAAATGAAATTAATAAGAAAGCTGATAAGATATGTCAACTTATTTGGATCCTAGATGAAGCAACTCTAAAAAAAAAGGATACTTTAATTAATACATAAGTGGCGATATTTTCACAAGGATCCTTCAAGAAATGAGTTTTGTAGCGAATTTTGAAAAATGCAACATTGAAAATTTTCCCAAAACTTCAAATATTGTTTTTTCGAATACTAAAAATTATTTTTCAAAACGGGTTGGTTCATTGGAAAGAGGACACTTTTATTAACACTTTGGGAAATTTTCATACTCATATTCCAAGAAATCGATTTTATACGAATTATTAAAATTTAATCGGCGAAAATTGCAAAATTCGACAAAATTGTCGATTATTTCAAAAATTTATTTCTCAAGAACTAAAAGTGATTTTTCAAAACGGCTTTTTGCATTAAAAAGAGGATACTTTAATTAATAATTGGTGATATTTCCACAAGGATCCTTCAAGAAATTAATTTTATAGCGAATTTTGAAAATTATCGATGAAAATTGCAACATCGAAAATTTTATCAAAACTTCAAATATTGTTTTCTCAAAAACTAAAAGTTATTTTTCAAAACGGGTTGGTTCATTGGAAAGAGGACACTTTTATTAACACTTTGGGAAATTTTCATACTCATATTCCAAGAAATGGATTTTATACGAATTTTTAAAACTTAATCGGCGAAAATTGCAAAATTCGAAAAAATTGTCGATCATTTCAAAAATTTATTTCTCAAGAACTAAAAGTGATTTTTCAAAACGGCTTTTTGCATTAAAAAGAGGATACTTTAATTAATAATTGGTGATATTTCCACAAGGATCCTTCAAGAAATTAATTTTATAGCGAATTTTGAAAATTATCGATGAAAATTGCAACATCGAAAATTTTATCAAAACTTCAAATATTGTTTTCTCAAAAACTAAAAGTTATTTTTCAAAACGGGTTGGTTCATTGGAAAGAGGACACTTTTATTAACACTTTGGGAAATTTTCATACTCATATTCCAAGAAATGGATTTTATACGAATTTTTAAAACTTAATCGGCGAAAATTGCAAAATTCGAAAAAATTGTCGATCATTTCAAAAATTTATTTCTCAAGAACTAAAAGTGATTTTTCAAAACGGCTTTTTGCATTAAAAAGAGGATACTTTAATTAATAATTGGTGATATTTCCACAAGGATCCTTCAAGAAATTAATTTTATAGCGAATTTTGAAAATTATCGATGAAAATTGCAACATCGAAAATTTTATCAAAATTTCAAATATAGCTTTCTCAAAAACGAGAAGTTATTTTTCAAAACGTGTTGGTGTATTGGAAAGAGGACACTTTTATTAACATTTTGGGAAATTTTCTTACTCATATTCTAAGAGATCGATTTTATACGAATTATTAAAATTTAATCGGCTTAAATTGCAAAATTCGAAAAAATTTATTTCTCAAGAACTAAAAGTGATTTTTCAAAACGGCTTTTTGCATTAAAAAGAGGATACATTAATTAATAATTGGTGATGTTGCCACAAGGATCCTTCAAGAAATTAATTTTATGGCGAATTTTGAAAATTATCGATGAAAATTGCAACATCGAAAATTTTATCAAAAGGCAGGAACAAGCCTATCTATTACAAGATGATGCCATCAAACATTTATGGGTCATTCTCAGAAAGGGTGGAAAAAGGGTTTAGAAGAAAAAAATTCGTGTAATTACTTTTCTAGGTTATATATTTATAGAAGAAAACATATTAGTATAACAAAAGTTTTGTACTTTGAGAATATAATTAAATAATGAAAATAATAAGTTTAGAGGTAACGGAGTTGACAAATAATAATTTAATTTCAAATTTTGTTCCTAACATCTTAACTTATGGCGTAGTAAACTCAATGGCATATCATCATCCAATGATGATGAATCTGCATATACAACGCTATAATGTAGAGCTGTTCTATACTTCACAGATCCAAGTTATAGTTTGAGCAAAGCTGGCCGAGTTCACAACATAGACATGTCAGTTCGCTGAGAGTAAGTTTATTGATCCAGGATACTTTCATCGTACCTTTAAATGTAGGAATATTTTCTGGGATCAGTTCGTCGATAATAGGGATTAGTTTTTCATCTATACGAAACAACTTGATTCCTTTTATTGAGTGTTGTAAGACTTTTACTAATGTGTCGTAATCTGGAATGTTGATAGGGTGATCAGGTGTTCCTTTTCCATGGCCACTTTCATTGTAATGCCATCGAATTGTCTTTGCTTGCAATTTTTGTGCAGGTGTGTGATCTTTCTGTTCTTATATTGGGTTGAGTTGGGTTGGTCCATCCGATAAGAAATTAATATGTCTTACCCTGGGAACAATCATTTTAATATCTTCAAAGTTGTATCCTAAGTGCACGTATATGGCGATTTGATACTGTACTGTATGAGATATGGTCTGTTGAGTTATTGTGCGGATGCTTTTAATATACAACTAAAGTATGAAGAGATATCTGAAGCTTTGAAGAGCCAAAGTGTGCATATTGTACTTCTTCAGTATATTTACAGAAGTAATTTTTAGAAAATTGTACTGATTTGTTAATTCATTTCATGTATGTTATTAATTCCTTTTTATTGTAGTGCAGAACGGTCATTGTATATTTGTTGCATTTGCGTTCAAGGCATTTTTCATTTTTACATTATATTACCAGTTGAACAGCAAATTTTTTGGACCACTTGAGATGGGGTGTTTTCTTTGATAATGTTTAAGGTCCCTAGGTTATGCACCAAAAGATTCATGTTAGTGTGCCAAAATCTTTAAGAAATTGCAAACCATTCTCAAATCTATTTGTTAATTACCCCAAATATAAATAATATAATACTATTTTATTTCCGATTTAGAAATAGTTTTAGTTGTAACTTTACCAGAGGGACATCTGAATGTTTAATGAAGTGCAAACCAACTTTTAAAAACTTTTGAATTTTGTGTACATAAAATATTTGTTGAGTCTCATCACATAGCTTTTTGCTTGAATAAATGTAATTATCTCTGTTTATAAGATTTGATATTACAGGGACTTTTTTTTAGCCCTACTGAGAATTACCCTTATATCAAACAAGATTACCTAACTAGTTGGAAGCAGATGAAATCGAAGCTGAATGGGAAAACTTGAAAAAGATAATCCACAACCCCGCAAACGAAGTCTTAAGAAAAAGGAAAAAGTACGTGATGTCTGGAAATGGTACACTAACATTGGTTTAGGTTTTAAAGTTCCTGAAACATTCGCTCCCAGCAAAAAAGTTATTCTATCTTTCGCAACTTTAAAACCTGGAGCAGCTCTTCACCAGAAATAAAAGTTCGTGCTGGCAACTTCATCCAATAAAGACCTATCTCATCAACGTTGAAGATTAACTTTGGAGAATAGTTGCCTTGTTCTACACAACCCTGAAATTCTTTAGGAAAAGCAGCCCCCGCCCCAAAATTTGCACTTGCTTCTTCACCACGACACACTACGATAGTTACTTCGGGATTTAAATCTTATGAACCAACCCTTGCTTGAAGATAAGCTTGAAATTGATGAAGATAACCACCAATCAAACATTCTAAATTATTTGATTTATCCATTCCTTTATTATTTTGTTTATGTTTTTACAAGATCAATTAATCAAAATCGACTTTTGTGATTTCAGTATTAATTCACTTTGAGTACACAAAGTTTAGAATTTCAAATGAATACGTGCATCTGGCACAAAGTGTATCAGTGACGTGATGCAAATTAGGATCGTAACTCGTTCCGACAGGTGAGTGGCGCACATCCAAATTGCATTATTCTCCTAGTCTATAACCCAATTTGTAACTAAAAGCTTTTAGCGAAATTTTTCAATTTTCCCCTTATTCCCAAAAAATCCTCTCCAGAGACATATTGAGAATAATAATTGTGAATCGAACGCGTTGAATTCTCAACAATAGAAACGTGACAAATGAATATATTGAAGTTTCACCCTCTAGTATAATATCTTTTGTTAGAAATTTGCAATAAATTTTGCAGAGGGGGAAATTGCATAGGAAATAATTGAACCAAAAGAGAATTAATTAACTCGCAGCGTTAAAGGTGGTTCGATTTCGAGATTTTACGATCGAAATCGTTGATTACTTCCAGAGTTTTCGTTCTTTCTAATAATAAAGTCCGTTCCGCCTCGATCGGAACCAAGTTTCGATCAAACATCGTGTTTTCCATTGTAAACAATCCTTCTTCAAGACGGAAAGTGGCTTTTCTATTTTGACCGCAATCGATATTCCTTCGTTACAAGGACAATCCAATCTTATTTTACGACGACTAAAGATAAACCAAATTTAATTATAACAAACAACACGTTTCTTCAAGAATCGTTTTAAGTAGGCAGGTTTTTGTACTTGAGATAAAAATTTAAAAATAACTTTTTGATTAAAGCGGGTTTGTATTTACAAAAGGGCTTTCTCAAAGTTTAGAACAATACGTTCAAACTGAATTGTGACTAAAAACTGTTTTTTTTTGTAGTTTTTTAAACGGAATAATTACATCAAATTAAATAGTATGTAAGAAAATCAATATTCGAATATTGGCCATATGGGAGTTTTGAGATAAAGCTTACAATTAGTTCTTTCTCCCCCGCTTAATTTTGGCAGTTTTTCGGCACCCCATTCTCTGTAGTACATTTATACTTTTCGTCCCTTACCCTAGTCAACTTAATAAAGAAAATCATCCCCTGTTCGTGCACGTGGCTTAAAATGAATCCACCGAGATAATGCCCATATAATAGATTCGAATTCGTTAAATTCGGAGATTAAAGTTGGTACCCAA